GCTTCAGCTCCCAGCACCCTGCCCCAGTACGGCGCTTCAGCACCCTGCCCCAGCTCCCAGCACCCTGCCCCAGTACTGTGCTTCAGCTCCCAGCACCCTGCCCCAGTACTGTGCTTCAGCTCCCAGCACCCTGCCCCAGTACTGTGCTTCAGCTCCCAGCACCCTGCCCCAGTACTGTGCTTCAGCTCCCAGCACCCTGCCCCAGTACTGTGCTTCAGCACCCAGCACTCTACTTAGTACCCTGCCTGTCCTAGCACCCTGCCCTGGCACTCAGCACCCCTCCTGCCCTCGCACCCCCTCCCAGCACCCAGCCCACCCCAGCTCCCAGCGCCCAACCTGCCCAGCACCCCATCCCAGCCCCAAGCTGCCCCTCTCCCCCATGCACCCTTCCACCCAGCACCCCGGCAGCCCCCACCCAGCACCCTGTTCTGCTGCTTCCTCGCCACTCGGGCCAAAACCAGCCAAACTTTTACACCCCGGGGCTGGTTTGCCCATCATGGGGCCTCAGCCCCCATCCGCCGCCTGCTTTGCACGCAGGATTTTTACGCAGAGCTGGAAAACATCTTCATTTATGGGGGGGGGGAATTTATGGGTGCTCTCCAGTTTACAGAAAAATTTAATTCTGAAGTCGTAGCTGGCACCGTGCTGCTTTGGACAAGGAAAGCGCTTCGAGGGTCCTTTGTGAGCGTGGGGTGATTAACGGGGTGGTGATGGGGGGGCTTGGGACCGGGGACACTGCGGTGTCCGGTGGCTTCGGCTGCACACCTGGACAAAGAGCCCGTTTGTCCGGGACGCGTGGGAACGCGCGGCCGAAGCCGCCAGGACGGTGAAAAGCGAGCACCCCGACCTGCCGGTGGTGGGGAGCTCTGCCCTGCCAAACCTCCCCCTTGTCTTTTTATCAGCTCTTTATGGCTAAGGTGTGTTTACTAACGGTATAGACCGGGCTGATGGCTGTAATTGCTCAAATCAAATATTAATTGCGAGGTCCCCGTGCGTGCCTGCGGCTGTGGGAGTAGCGGAGCTGTCAGCTGCGCCTGCAGGTCCCAGTTTAACACAAAGCCCTTGTGCGGCTTTAAAAATACCATCTTCCACCATGCTTAGGTTTTGATTTACTAATTATCTGAAGTTAAAGGAAGGAAGAGACGGATATAAATATGCTTATTTCAAAAGGAAGCAAGCGCTCACATCAGAGGGTCTCGTGCTGGAGATAGCCTTGACTCTCCGAAAACTTTTTTTTTCTTTTTTTTTGTTGTTGTTGTTATTTTTATGCTGGAGCTGCAGAAAGATTTGCTGAAGTTGAGCACTCAGTAGCTAGGGAAAAAAAATAACGGCTTTCTAGAAATGATAAAAAAATCAACCCATTGATCACAAATGAATAAGGGATGCTCCCTTCGGTTTTGAGCTGTGCTGGGTGTCGGGGCTGGCAGATGCCGAAGCAGAGCCGGGGCCGACTTGTGTGCCGAAAGCCGGGCGCGTGCACGGGGACAGAACCCAGCGAGGACCTAAATTAGCACTTGACGTAATGCGTCCCCTAAATGTGTTTGCTCGGATCCTCTCCACTTGTTAAATTAGGGATTGTATTAGAGGGAAGGAATGCAGCGGCCGCAGTGCCGGCCCCGGCGGGGGGAGCAGGGATGGTGTTCCCCTGGGAGCTCAGCCCCAATGCCCACCTCCCCGGGACGGTCAAGACCCACGGATATCTCCGGCTGTTGCCTTCCTTTTCCCCTTGGCTTTTGTCGCCGAGCCAAGCTATACGTATTTAGTTCCTTTTAATCTTCCTGCGTGTCAGCTCTTCCAGCCCTCTCATTATTTTTATGGCTCCTCTTTGAGCTCCTGCCAGTTTATCAGGGTCGGGTTTAGCAGAGCGGGGTGGGACAGGACTCGCTCCTCGGCCTCATGTGCCTCCTCAATGCCCTCCTTCATCCAGCCTCTGCTGTTGCTTCGTCTCAAGATCCATGAATTTTGCAATTTTTCCGCGTTGAAACCCTTTTCCTGCATTTTTAACCTGTCCCTCCCCGTCGTTCCTCTGTCCCTGCCAGTGTTCGTTTCCCTTTTTTAACAACTCCCAGCGTTAAAAGAATTATTCGTCTTTTGCAAAGCAGATTTCTTACTGTCAGTTTTAAGGAAATGCCTTCAAAATAAAATTTCCTTGCAGCTCTGGGTTCCCCTATGGACTGCTCTGCTTGCGTATCGTGGGGGGAGGAAGGAAGGGGGGGGCTGTGCCTTGGGCAGGGGTTTGCTGGCTCCATCCTTTGGGACAAACCTCCTGTGGACTTCTTCGTGCTGCCAGAGGGCAGGGAAAGGAGATTTCTGTGGCCTGCACGGAGTTTCAGTGAAGTTTAGGGCATCGCTGTGAATTTGCAGCAGAGCGGTCCTGGTCTCATTGTAGGATGCTGGTAGAAGCTCTTCAACCATTAGTGAGCAGGGGGGAAAAAAGCCTTCCCTCCTCCCAGCAGCAAGGAGAGCTTGGGAAAGGGAAAAATCTAGATTTACATTAGTATTTTCTGATGTCTGTAGGAGAAAATTATCGCAATAAATAGCCCTTTGCCTTGGAGAGGGCTGGGGTGCATGGGGGACACGTGTTGGGGTACCATGCTCAGAGCAGGAACGCCAGAAGGTTTTTTGTCCCTAATTGTAAGACTGCAGGTATCAGTAAATCTTGTTGATTCGGTCCTTGCCTGCGCAGAGTGGTTGTGGTCGGACTATTTGGGAATAGGCAATTAAAATCTGTCACTAATGCAGGCAGGGATTGGAAGAAACCCAAGCAGCAGATAGGGATTCTGGTTACTCAAGTGAATTGCAATGACCTGTTCGCTCCCCTGTTATTTATCACCG